TCTCAATGAAAGCACCAGTGATACGGCAGTATCAAGTTGGGAAGCCCTTTGAGTGACTTCTAACTCCAAGGGAAAAAGAAGAGAAGGAGGAAAGAGTTGTGGAAGAAGAAAAGAAAGAAACGTACGGGAAGAGGAAGTGGGCAAGCTAAAGGGTTTTAATTCATTTCTCTCCAAAAACAAAGAGATACATCCCCTTTTTATAGCATAAAAACCCTTAACCTAAAATACTACATTTTCTATTCTGACGGTTCAAGAAAAAGCGACGAGGTAAAGAACCGTAAAGAAACCCTCGAAGGAGCTTATATTTTGCTCACCTAATAAAATCTAAAATACATTAAATAAAATAAACTAGTGTAACTGAAACTCTTTTTGCCAAGCCGGCGCCCGTCGTAGACGCGTACTCCGACGTAAACTTTCAACGGGCGACCTAGAAGTAGATTCATAATCTTGTGATGGAACCGTAACAGACTTTTAAGAAATTTAAAGGAGGGATATTACATCCGAATTGAAATTAATAAATCCATTTTCGCAAATATGCATGTGAAAAATTGAATTTAATAAAAACACTACCAACGATGATACTTGACAAATCTAATCTGATTGGAACATAGTGGTTTTTGGTCAATATGGGTGATAAATGACTATGTTTTAATTGTTCATTCGATAGTATTCTTGTTCGATCTTTAATTTATACGTAGTATATACTCCGTACTTGATTATAATCACTCCGTCCCTAAAAGAAGTTTCCTTATTTACTTTTTGGGAAATTAAGAAAGGAATACTTTGGTGTTGATTTTCTAAAAATATTCTTGATGTAATGGATAAAAGTAATGTATAATTGATAAATTATTAGTAAAAAGGTATGATGTGTTCGGTGTGGTATGAAAAAGTAAGTGGTAAAAGTGGTTTTTTAATAGAAAAGAAGAGTTTGTGGGACTAAGAAAAAAATGAAAGGGTGAGATATTTCAGGGACGGAAGGAGTATTATTTATGTCTAATATCGGATTTAAAAACAGCTAATTAAAAGGTTACATGTAGGCAGCTAATTAACTGTACTGAATTTATTTGTTCTTTCTATTATAAGTATGTCTGTTTTTTACTTTTTTATTTTAATTACAGTAATTTTAATTTGGATCCCGACTATTATATGCCTTTGCCCCGCGTGGATTATGTGCATTGTTTTATCATTTCCGAAAAAGTCTTTGCTTAGCTTGCACAACTTTTTGTATATTTGTGCAAATTCTTCTTTTTCTTTTTAAATGTGTAAGTACACTAAACGTAACGGACAGAAAAATCTATGAAAAAAATGTACTCATAAATAATTCTGCCTCTGTTAAAAAATGTTCTTATTTGATTTTTCTTGATCAAAAATTGTAAATTAAAAATTCGAGAGACATTTTCTCCACGGGTCACAAGGTCGATCTAAGTGCTCTTTCTTACCTCTTTAGTACCAAATTAGATTACACATTTTGTTTTACGAAATAAAACCCTATTTTTTAAAAAAAATATTTTAATTAAAATTGGTATAGGAATAAAAACAAAATTTAAATATTAAAAAACTACATAAAAAATTTATAGAACAACATATGAAATGAATATTTTATTTTATATACTCTGTAAAAATTAATGGAAACACATTAATAAACAAAAACTTTTAAGAGATGAGTGAAAAAAATTATAATCAATTTGAAGGTTGGAAGAAGACGTTTTTGTTAGGTTTTTGTAAGACTAATACTCTGTATTAGGGGTGGACACGATACGGTTTCGGGACGGTTCTGGTACCGCCACCTCTTGTTACTGGTACCGTGACTAGACCGGACGGTACTGGTGCTGGTACCTGGAACTAAGAATTCAACAATCATGATACAAAAAATGTAATGACATTGTTGGTAGATAATTTAAACATGAATTACTATTATTATCAAAGGTATGTTTCCTTAGGCCATGTTCTTTTCAACATATTCTTATTAATTTTTATTTTTTGATTGGAATCAGATCAGATCAGAAATAGTTTTAAATATAACTACATTCAGGTCATATCAGACCATATCACAATTTATTTTAATCAAATCAAAAACATTTTAGATCAGGTGAAGATTACATGACATTAGTCTCCAAATAAAAATTTCAAGCCAAATTGGATGAACTTGAATATTCAATTACTTTAAGAAAAATTTACCTAAATAGGAATAAAACATAATGACTTTCCCAATATAGGACCATATGTTTTTATTTCCCAATGTAAGACCTTTGGTCATTATGAAGTAGTTATTGTTCAAGTAAATGTCCAATCATTACTGGACATTATTCCTCCCACTAGGTCATTATTAAGTCCTATTTAGGGAATAAAAAAGTTTAAGTCCTACATTAGGAAAGTCATTATATTTTAGTCCTATTTAGGGCAAATTTCACTTACTTTAAACATATTAATACCAATAAATTAAAATTTTGAAAGTTCTCTATAAGATAAATCTATTTAAATAATATGTATTTATACTAATATATGTTATGATTTTTATTTGATTGAAGTTAAAAATTCATCTAATATGACTAAAAAAATCAAATCAAAGTAATATAGTGAAACGGGTATTAATTTTTTTTAAAAAATTTAGTTTGTACAATTAAAAATATACAAATGGTTTCCAGAAGCTCCCCAACTTACCCATTAATATGAAGAAATGTAACCGTCACTCAATTCATCTATCTAAAGCAATGCAACTCCAAAAAAGAGATCAACTTTATTAATAACGCACCGTTGCACCGTTGGGACATTTCTCGCCGGAACGTTTACAAGCCCAGATGGCGGCGCCTTGGCCGGAAAGCTCGCCGCCGTGGGCAGAAACGCCGTCCACCTGCTCAAACGCCAGCCAGCTGCCGGCACTGCCGATGACGTTGTAGTCGGCAGGCGCGAGGAGGGTCCCACGGATCCGGAACTCGATCCTCGTGTTCCGGCAAGGGCCCGCAAAGCGGCCTTGCCGGACGAAAAACGTCCCGTCCGGGATGTATATGGTGACAGGGTCGCGGGACCCACAAGCCGCGGACCACGCGCGGCGGAGCGCTTGCGACGCGTCAGTTTTGCCGTCGCGTTTTGCCCCCAGACTCGCCACGTTTATGAATTTTGTGGCGGAATCGAGAGCTGATGCTTGGTTAGAGAGCAGGAAACATGGTAAAAACAGTAATGATAGGGTTAGTAATTCAGGATTGATGCTAATAATAATGGAATCCATTATAGCGGGCAATTCTGGGTGGTCGAAAGTAATTTACTGAAGTAATTAAGTTAACTACTCTAATAATAATAGTACGGAGTAATTAATTAAGATGGCCGGGAGAAGATAGACAGAGAGATGTGAGATATATACTGGGGAGTAGAAGATTAGTAGGGAGTGGGGAGTGGGAGGTTATTTTAATTTAGTAGTTTTACTAGGAAGGTGGAAAAGATCCCTCTGAGGCAGATTTGGGCTTTGGCCCATAAAATGAGAAGAGATAAATAAATAATTAGTGAGATTTCTTCCTATTTACGAACACTTTTTGTTTAAACCCTATGTTGACTAGGTCACAATTGGTCAATAATATACCTCTTATTGACTTAGAATTGATGGAGAAAAAAATGGTAGAAGCGAGGTCATGAAGAACGAACTACATATATACGACCGGCCAAAGTAAAATTATAATGAAGAATGCGAGGGGGTAAATTAAGGGTGGAAGGATGAAGGCCACGAAACGAACACATGAAAAGTGGGTCATAGGCATCGTCAAACGGCTCCATTGTTGAGGCCATCCAAAAATGGCGTCAATATTTGCTAGGACAAACCTCTGCACGGACCAGAGGAGTCTCAATAATATATTAACTATGGCAACAAGTGATCATTGGAACACCTGATCGGCATGCAGTTTTATATACGGAAGTTATATATTAGGATTTTGTCTTCAGATCGAATACAAATGTGGTTCATCCAATAAATTTTCCGATGCTCTGTCACGCAGGGATCGGATGAGTCACCCCTATCGATCAGTCCACTCGCTGGTCTTAATGTCGCAACCCAGGGTCGACCTGCTGCAGCTCATCGAACTGAGAATACGTACAACCCAGACGGATAATAATCGTTTTTCTATGTTTTTTTCATTTGGGTGTGCTACACTGCTACGTACCCACGGATTTTGACGCCCACCGGGCAGCATTTTTATTCGTGGTAAAACTACACCGATTTCCTAATGACCATGTGTTCATTAGAAAATTTTTGAGGCATCTCATTAAAATGAGTGGTACAACCTTGCATCATAACACAACCTTGCATCATAACACAACCTTTCATCCCCAAACAAAATTAAAGGTGATGAATGGGGGGTCGAGCAGTGAGGGGGTGTTAGACTATATATAAAAATCATTTTTGGGTCACAACTACAAGCTTGAGCTTTTGGTTGAGTTAGTTCCTTGACACGATATTAGAAAAAACTTCAAGGAATCAGAAGAAATTGAAAGACGTTAGAAAAACTAGAAAGATTTGAAAAAAAACTAGAATGAATTGGAAAAACTAGAAGAAGTTGAAATTAAAGATATTAGAAAGAGTAGTAAAAAAAAGTGGAAATTAAGAGTTAACGCTTAAAAGAATAGAGCCTTTGTGTAGTACAGCCTCTTCGTGAAGAGGGGGGGGGGGTCACAATCTATTATTAGTGTTTGGTTACTTTGACATGTTAAGGAATGTGCAAATTTAATATTATTTCCCAACTTTTGTTCTTATTTTATACTTGTAGGGTAGATATGATGTGGTGGTTAAATTTATACTCATAGTGCAGATTTTAATTGAAGTGAAAGTATTTTTTAAAGATGGATGAAAAACTATAATGAAGATGTTTTTTTTTGGAATGAAGTAATACTAGCAAATAATCTAGAAAAGTGAATGTTAGTGAATGTTTTGAGAGAACTTATAAGTTTTATTACGGACTATTGAATAAATGTGTGAGATACAACATTTTCGAGTCAAACAGAATGAACTCTCAGTTTCAGTTAAGTAAAAATTGTAATGTACATTAGTAAAAACAATGATTTTATTACATTTATCTTGATGAGAATTTTCAAAATTTTATTTTATTTTACTAATGTATATGCAATACAAATTGAAAGTAATTGAAGCTCAAAATTTGTCTAGTTTTACTAAAAAATGTCAAACTGGATAAATACACTGAGACAGTGGTAGTATGAAATATTATATTGATAGAGGACACATCCAATACATATAATAAGCCATATTTCTTATAATATGGTTTGATTGATAAATCTAAATCAAGATATTGGGGTCATTTTTTTTAATACCAAAATCAACTAAAATTGGACAGTGCAATTAAAGTGATTGGAGAAGTCAGTTCGGGTCGGGGATGGGAGGGTGTTTACGGGAAGGTTAAAGAGGCTGGAATCGTTAGGACAACGTAGATGCGGCAATGCCCCCAATCGAGCCAATGTCATCTTATGAAATTTGGCACTAATTTCAAAAGAAGCAAACGATTGATATAGAAAATATGGTTAGGATGTTTATTCATAAAAAAGAAGAATTGTTACCAAAGAAATATTAAGATAGATTCAATGTTTTCCAACATAATATCATGTTCTTCTTGAATTGCATTGTACTACTATGCCTCCGAGCTAGATAGCTATGCTGCGTGCATGATGAGTAACTAACCTATATATGTGATGTATCGGCCCTTACCCATGTGCACTAATTATATTATCATGCTCTCTAATTCCTTTTCCTAATTTAGTATTTCCAGTTATATAAATATATATAAGTAGTACATTGTATTATTATTACTCAAATTTTCTTGATTTAGATCTATCAATCAATTCAATCAAGCCATATTAAAATACTACCTCCGTTCCAAAAAAATTTACACGTTTTGACTAAAGTTGAAATTAAGGGAGAGAAAATTTGGTCTTGATTTTTCAAAAATACCCTTGATGTGATGGATAAAAGTAGGATGTGATGTGTAGATTATTATGAAAAAGGTATGATGTGATAGGTAGGGTTTGAAAAAGTAAGGGGTAAAGTGGTTTTTTAAAAAAAATGGGTAGGAAATTGTGGGATGCAATTTTTTTGAAAGGTATATATCGTTTTGGGACGGAGTGAGTAAATATTACGAGTTTAAATAAATCCCCACAAGTTTCTCCTAATATTGAGGAGCCAAAGCCCAATTTGTCAGAATGTTTGCTCTCCTTTGTCAAACTTACAAACCACTTCCATTACTCAAAGTAGAAACCTTTGAAAATCCAATTTGGCGCAATTATTATTGTCTCCATTTTGTGTCTTAATTATCATTTCAATATATATTTGCAGATCTAACACATAAGCATAGTATGTTCTCTAAGTATTTATTTATTAGGATTATAATTAATTTAATAATAAGTTGAAAATTGCACCGACGACTATGGACTAAATTCCGATCCCTTCATTTCTCCTATATATGTATCCACATTTCAATTCATTTACTAAACTTCAATTCTTACTTACATTGATAGAAGTTATAGCTAGAAACATTGTTTCCATCTTCATTTTTTCATCTCAAAAGAAAGAAAAAAAATATGGGCAGAAATTTGTGTTTCCCTCTAGTTATTGTGGCTTTATTTCTGGTCGTGGCAACGACGTCGACAGCTAACGGAACATACAATGTCGAGAGCTACGGAGCGAGACCGGACGGGCGGACCGACTCGACGGGCGGGTTTCTCAAGGCATGGGATGTGGTGTGTCGGTTGAACCGGGCGGCCACCATTCACGTCCCCCAGGGGAACTTCTTGCTTCGCAACGTGTTTTTCCAGGGCGAAACGTGCAAGAACACGCGCGGGATAACGTTCCAAATAAGCGGAACGCTTCTAGCCCCTTCCGACTACAACGTCATCGGACACTCCGAGACGTGGATCAAGTTCAACCGGGTCAATAACGTTTCCATCGTTGGCGGAACCCTAGACGCCCAAGGGTCCGCTCTCTGGGATTGCAAGAACTCCGGCGAGAGTGGCTGCCCTAATGGAGCAACGGTACGCATGTACTCCGTTTATGATATATGCATGCATATATAAAAGATTAAGGCTGCATATTAGCTAGGCAGGGATAATAAGAAATAGAATATTACGGAGTATTAATTATTTCTCCCTATTAATATGAGAAGTATAATTATAGTGTTATATTATTGGGAATTTAAAGAAATAGCATTAAAACATAATGAATTTTCCAAAATAGCATCACACGTGTTTTTTTCCCAATGCAGCACTTTTAGTCATTATCCATTAATCATTATTCAAGTTAATGTTCATCGTGACTGGATATTATGGATATTATTAAATCTTATTTAGAGAATAAAACAGTTTAAGTGTTATTTAGAAAAATGACTTAAGTTTTGGTGTTATTTAGTGAAAAAATATTTCGACATATCATTTTAATTGGGACAATTCCAATGCTCCGTTTATTAGAATGGCAGTTTCTACCTCTATAAACCTTGCATTTTTTTGGTCTATCAGACATTAGGATTTTACAACTCGGACAACGTGGAAATAACGGGACTAACGTCCCAAAACAGTCAAAGGTTCCACATAGTGATATATGGGACCCGCAAAGCGATGCTACAAGGAATAAAGATATCGGCGCCGGAGGACAGCCCTAACACCGATGGAATTCACGTCCAATCGTCCACCCAAGTTACCATCCTCAACTCATTTATCGGCACAGGCGACGATTGCGTCTCCATCGGCCCCGGCACCACCTACCTGTGGATCGATGGCATAGCTTGCGGTCCTGGCCACGGGATAAGGTATGAATTACTCAATACTACACTTTTATACTATATAGTTGTAGTGTTACAAGCACTAAAACCTTTCTTGAACCTAAAAGTACAATTTTAAATTTTTATTATGGGTCCGTTTGGTATATGGAATTGACGGAATTGGAATTGAATTTGAATTGAAATTCCATGAGATTCAATTCCATAGAATTGAATCCTGCCAATTCCAAATCATTTATTACAATATCAATTCCAAATCCACATAATTTTTGTGCTACCAAACACCAGAATTGGAATTGAAGTACTCAATTCCAATTCCATGGTTTGAATTCCATGTACCAAACGCGGCCTAAGTGTATTCATTGAAACAATATTAGAGTCAGATTGACCAAAAAGTTACAAATTCGAATCTCATCTTCATTCAACTTAGAAAGAAAAATTAAAATTTCATAAACAAAGTTCAACGAGTTCGATATTTTTTCCATTTGCATGTAAAATGTTACATCTTGAATTCTTAATAGTTAATTTATCTCGTCACCAACAGTATCGGGAGTCTAGGGTGGGCCATGCAGGAAGCCGGGGTGGAGAACGTGAAGGTGAAAAACGTTCAATTCACGGGGACGGAGAACGGGGTGAGGATCAAGACATGGGCCCGGGCGAGCAACGGGTTCGTCAAGAACGTGTTGTTCCAGCGGGCCACCATGGTCGATGTCCGCAACCCGATCATCATTGACCAGAACTACTGCCCCCACAACCAGGCCAACTGCCCCCACCAGGCATCCGGCGTGAACATCACCGGCGTCACGTTCCGGGACATACGCGGGACGTCAGCCACGCAAGTCGCCGTCGCGCTGCAGTGCAGCAGCAGTCGGCCGTGCAGAGGGATCACGGTAGACGAGGTCAAGCTCACTTACAATGGCAATCCGGCTCAAGCTTCATGCGTCAACTCCGGCACTTGTCCCCGTCTTTTCCACCGCACCTGACCCTGATGCTCACCGCGCCCATGCTCGCTCGCCTTATTCCTAAATACACATACTTCCTCCGTCCTATAATTAAAGCCTCATTTTGAATTTTTTTGTTAAATTGTGACACTCTTTAATTACAAATTAAATATATTCTTAAATGAAATAAATATTATTTTATATATCAAAATTATGTCTTATAATGAACCTAGCTAATTATATATTTGAATATATTTCGGTAGTTAAAGAGTGTCACTGTTTGACTAAAAAAGTCAAAACGAGACTTTATTTATGAGAGGAGGGGAGTATATAAATGCATGTATAAAATAATATATGTAATTGAATCTATATATATGTGCTTGAGCCTGTGGCTGCAATTCTAGCTTGCTTGTTGTCTTGCTGATCAAGCGCCTGGCCTTGCATTTCTTATAATGAACTTCATTTTTCTTTCTAATGCACATCTTAGAGTGATTAAAATGACTTTCAATTCTAACATTTTCACTTTTTCTTGACTCTATTTTAAATTTGTTTGGTTGGTTATATCCTTTTCTATGGTGAAAATTAAAATATATATATAAGTACCAAAAAAAAAAGATGGAATAGTTCTATAAGACAAGTAATTTAAAAACAAAATTGGGTAAAAATCATTGTTATGAAAACGTAACGGTCCGACCAATGAACCGTGACTTGGACTCAAAGTTATTTACGAAGAGTTAATGTATTATCTTTCATGTTCAATTTTTTTTTCTGTGTCAGCATGTTGGCGTAGTGGCAAGAAAGTCATCACAGTCTCCAAAAATAAAATGTCTAACAAAGCTATTTACGAAGAGTTAATGTATTATCTTGCATGTTCAATTTTTTATTCTATGTCAGCATGTTGGCGTAGTGGCAAGAAAGTCATCACAGTCTCCAAAAATAAAATGTCTAACAAAGTTATTTACGAAGAGTTAATGTATTATCTTTCATGTTCAATTTTTTATTCTATGTCAGCATGTTGGCGTAGTGGCAAGAAAGTCATCACAGTCTCCAAAAATAAAATGTCTAACAAAGTTTTTCACGAAGAGTTAACGTATTATCTTTCATGTTCAATTTTTTATTCTGTGTCAGGCGTAGTGGCAAGAAAGTCATCAAAGGCTACTCTATATCTAGTGTTCAAATTGAATCTCACTTATGCGCTTAAGATTGTCGAGATTAATTTGAGCAGATACTACATTGATAGATCATAGATGTGAGAGTTGCTCAATAATTTTTTTATCACTTCTCCAATTTCAATTTATCCTACATTCACTCTCATTTCACTTTCAATTTAAACTCTCCCTCTTATTAATAATTAAGAATTTGGCAATTTACAACGTTGTTCCATACTTTTTTTTGGAACATACTTTCTCTTTTATTTTAGTTATTGTTATAATACTCTGTAATTTTTTTTATTATTTACCAAATTTATTAACAGATATTACATTATACTCCCTCCGTCCTAAAACTTTCTTCCTACTTCCCCTTTTTCTCCGTCCTAAAACTACCTTCCCATTAGAAAAAAAAGATAACAAATGACATTAATATCCTCATGTATTTACACCAATTATCTTCTAACTCTATATTTTGAATGATTGCAAAAAAATTTTGCAAAAAATCTTTTTTAAGAAGGGTAAAATTTGAAGTCAAAGCCAAAAATTAAAAATGAGGAAAAGTCAAACTGGGAAAAAAGTTTTAGAACGGAGGGAGTAATAAAATTCTTAAAATGAGAGGGCACATGCCGCTTGTGTAAAAAATGAGAAATGGTGAGGAGACCGAGTAAATTTCTAACAAGTGCGCTGCAAGACAACTATGGTAAGTATTGAGTCTTTGTAAATAGCACGCACACAGACTTTATTTTTGTCATCAATCTCCAATAAAAATTTAATTTTCGGAGGATGGAGCTCAGTCTTTTTTGGAAATGATGAGGAGCCATTGTAAATGCTAAATGCTCTGACAAGTCTTCCAAACGTCAAAACCCCTCAAATTCTATCAGATAGAAATTGGCAAGGGTGATCGGAGAGATCATCGGTCGAGATGGCGGGCGAGGAAGTGAGCAACAAGCAAATTATCCTGAAAAACTACGTCTCCGCCGGAATTCCCAAGGAGTCCGACATGGAATTACGGACCACCACCCTGCAGCTAAAGGCTCCCGAAGGATCCAACGCCGTGCTGGTTAAGAATCTCTATCTTTCCTGCGACCCTTACATGCGCACCCGCATGAGAAACATCCAGGGAAGCTATGTCGAGTCCTTCACTCCTGGATCTGTACGTTTTTTTTCTCTTTCCCTCTCAAGCCAGGTTTGGGATTTGTAGGTCGATTAGGGTACATTTCTAGGGTTTATAGGTTTTTAGGGAGCTAATGGCGTATTCAAATTCTGTTTATAGGGTTTGACTGACTTTATTTTCAATTTAATTTATTTGATTGTAAGCGTAAAATTAAAAAATAAAATTTATATATTTAAAAACTATTCTGAGGTATATCAAAAGTTCTACGTGACAAGACTATTATTTTATAAAATAACTAATGAAAATAGGTGAATAAAGTTATTAAAGTTTGACCATGTGAATAGTAACTAAGATGAGGATGGATGAAGTATTTCATACCAACTGATGTGAAATTGTGAATATGTGATGTATATAGCCCATTGTGGGATATGGAGTGGCAAGAGTGGTGGATTCTGATCATTCCAACTTCAAGAAAGGTGACTTAGTCTGGGGATTCACTGGATGGGAGGAGTATAGCATTGTCACTGCCACAAGCTCTCTCTTCAAAATCCAGCACACTGATGTTCCGCTTTCTTACTACACTGGACTCCTTGGTATTTCATTTTTTTTAACTTCTTAAGTTTTTATTCATACCCACATTTTTTTCTGGTTTTAAATTGGTTTTTATGTGCCAAATTTATGTAGGAATGCCGGGTATGACAGCTTATGCAGGGTTTTACGAGGTTTGCTGTCCCAAGAAAGGGGAAACTGTCTTTGTTTCAGCTGCATCCGGAGCGGTCGGCCAGCTTGTTGGGCAATTTGCAAAGCTCTGTGGTTGCTATGTTGTTGGTAGTGCTGGTACCAAAGAAAAGGTTTGCTTCTTTCCAACGATTCGGATATACCCCTTCCAGCCAGATTTAGGTGTCCACTCTTCTTCTTTGCGATGTCTGAAATTAATTGTAAATTTTAATTGGCAAACAAATGATGGGCATGTACCCAAAAAAACATACGGAGTATTAAACTTGTTGCCAACAATGGAAGACAAGCCAATTACAAGAGCTTTTTTCTTTCCAATTCACCAATTTCTTTAAATTTTTAAGTCAGGGGACAAGTTGACAACTAAAACCGGAGGAAGTGAGTAAGTAGTTATTGCATACTTTTGATATTTTGTGCTTGCAGTTGACAATTCAAAGTCTTGTATTGACAAATGAGTTGAAAAAAAACAATCACATTTAGTTTTTTCTTCTTACTCCCCATGCCTAATGCCTAGGAGTTGACAAATCGAAGTCTGGTATTGAGTGCTGGTTACAGTAACATTGTTAACTTTTTTTTTTTTGTGCTTGACTTGTAATATCTCTCCCTTTTTACTTGATCCCAATTACATCCATAATTCATGACCTCTCCTTGAAAGCTATTTTATGTTTAAAGGTGGAATTATTGAAGAACAAATTTGGGTTTGACGAAGCTTTTAACTACAAAGAGGAGCAAGACTTGGATGCAGCTTTGAAAAGGTCGGGATATATATAAATAGAGATGACGAAACATAGTTATTCTTTGGTCATCTCCAGCTCAACTAATCTTTTTCTTGTTCATCATCTGTTAAAAGGTTATTTCCCAATGGAATTGATATTTACTTTGAGAACGTGGGAGGGAAAATGCTTGATGCCGTTCTCCTCAACATGAACCTTCATGGGCGAATCGCCGTGTGTGGAATGATATCGCAATACAATCTAGAAGAGCCAGAAGGTGTCAACAACTTATTCTGCCTCATAACAAAGCGAATCCGCATGGAAGGCTTCCTGGTCTTTGACCACTATCATCTCTATCCAAAGTTTCTGGAGATGATCCTGCCGTGCATTAAGGAAGGGAAGGTTAGGTACGTGGAGGATGTTGCCGAGGGGCTTGAGAGTGCTCCGGCTGCTCTGGTCGGCCTCTTCACTGGCCGGAATGTTGGGAAACAGTTGGTTGTTGTTTCTCGCGAATCGGAGGCGTGAACATCATTGGTAATGTGTGTTTTTCTTGTCTGTCTATGAACAAACAAATAAATACTCCTATAAGAATTAATGCGTAAATGAATTGTTCATTATAATAAAGATTGTGTTTGCTGTTTGAGGTTTGTGTGTGTGTTTGTGTGTGTTATTGCTCCTTGTTCATTTACAAGGGGAACACTCTCTATCCTTGTGTCGTGGTTGTAGGGTGATTGTGTACCAAACCGATTTGAAAGTTTGTCGACCTGAAAAAATACCGCAAAAAACCAATCGTACTGGATGGAACGGTTGCTTTGGCATTTGGAAATGGTAGGAGATAATTTTTTACACTGAAAATCTTGAACCGAACATATATTGTGGTAATATATTAGCCAATATAGATATAATAACCTTTTATAATTTTTCATTAAGTCACTATTGAGAATTTGGTTCAAATTTTATTACATGTACATTGTGCTTTCATTTGAGTTGTAATTTTTTGTAGGTGAATTTTAAAGTGTTAACAAGAACTTAAAATGTTATTCTGTTATTATTCGTTCTCTTTGAGTTGTTAAATACTCCGTATAAATTAAGTTTAATAATTATTTATTGCACTTAATTTTTCATTTTTGAAATTTTTATGTTTCATTATTTAAATAAATTATTAATGCATTTACGCAAATAAAGAGTTAATTACATTTTAAAGTGTAAATTATGTACAGATGTATTTATCCCAATTGTACCGAACCATCTCGGGGGACCAAATTTTTGGGATCGGAAACAATATAATGTAAAAATTCAATACTAAACAAAAACATTTAGTACGGTATTGATATGAGTTCAATATCGTAACATACCGTACCATGTTCATCCATATGTCGTGTTGTGATGCAAAGGAGCACCCGTGACTGGCCGTGGGAAAACAAAACCAAGAGGGAACCTCACAATTTACTAGTTTTGGTATTATAAACTCTATTACAATGTGATATAATTTGATACATACTATTTCATTCTATTGAAACACAAAGAGTCAATTTCGCAACTGAAATTCAAATTTGTGACCAATTTGGATAGCCATAATTATGCTGCTCAATTACAAGATCTTTGGTAGTTTACTACGGATTAATTACTATTTCATTCGTTCTAAAATAATGTGAAAATGAAACATGTTTCAAGAGTAGATTGATAATTGGGTTGAAAAAGGGTTATTTATTGGAAAAAAAATCAAAAAATGACAAGAAAATGAATGTTTGTATCTCTCCTTCTAATTGACTCATCTAAAATGGGAAAGAGTATCCACGAAGGTACTTCGAGTCCACCCCCGATTCACGAGCGAGTGCAACGCGTCCAGTCCGTGCCACCTGTTCAAGAGAACACCCAATTCATGAGTATAAAAAAAGACTAAGGTTTGATGTCTGATGGATTTTCTTTAATCAAAATCTGGAGAACAACCAGACCTCACAAATGCCATAGGGTTCCAACAGCCTCTGCAGAGCAACCATCTTATGCAAATCTCCAGTAAGCTGCAAAAAGTGCACATAGTTGTTGGTGAAACTTATTCATTACTATGACTTTGTGATTATAGATTTCTTGATTTTCATATTCAAATTGTTCATTGATGAGTTCTTGCCTTCACCAAAGTCAATGGAGCTAATGAGTAAACCTCTTGTTTCTTGTCTGTGACTCTGATTATTATTTTTGGCAACTTTTGACAAATTAGAAGAAAATTTTGCTTCTTTGATCAATCTGGATTCTTTTTTTCTTAAACTAAACTGTGTTTGAACAAAGAATCTTTGATTTAAGCAGGTAGCAAAAGTTTCATTGGAGACTGGGAGAGAGAAAGAGAGAGACACACACACACACACCTCAAGAGTGATGGTATGATCAGACACATCAACAGCTCTGGCTCTAAAAATGCTGGCAATGTCAAGAACAGTGCGGCGCACGGCAGCATTTACAGCAACCTTAATCAGCATGAGTTCTCGCTCAGCGAATGGCAGCTGGGTGAGATCCTTTACCTGAAAACAGTCAGCACCAAATCTTCTTCCGTCATTCGTGTGACTACTCGGGCACAAACAAACAAACATTGATGTAGATTAATTCATCGCGAATTGCACTCACCTCATGCAGATCTACCAATTTACAAAGTTGCTGAACCAACTTGCCAATTGATTCATCAGTGCCCGGAACAACTGTAGTGATGCGTGATAGCCCTTCGACTTCAGCATTCCCAACAGCTAAACTCTGTTAAGAGAGATGGAGGGAGGAAATATTGCACTACATTATATACCCAATACATTCACACAAAATGTAGGGTCTAGAGAGGATTCGTTTATGCAGACCTTAACTATTATGAAGTAGAGAGGTTGTTTTCAAGGGACCTCGGCTCAAAGACAGAAGTACGAACAAAAAAATACATAGAAGCAAGAACGAAGTACGAACAAAGACAAAAGAAGTATACAAACCAACTCTAAGAAGTAGACATAGAGCACAAAAAACACGCAAGCACAGTCTATAGCCCAAGGCATAAAACACACCAACATAAACTACAAAGTACAAACTAATGCTTACAGGTCCATTCAACTACTTGAATCCTAGGTAATTGAGCAAAAAAATGTAGAATATGTGTTGGGACTTGGGAGCAGCTTAAGATTAGAACATATACTTGGATATTATATCCGCGTCTTGCGAAAACACCCGTGACTATGCTGAGGACTCCAGGAGCATCATTTACGAGCAATGATAATGTGTGTGAACGGATCCCACTACTCTGCAAATAAACCAATAATAATGGTTAAAGCAAGAGATTTTTTGCAAAAGAAATGCATAGTGACTTGATAAGTAAGTAAAACAAGAGGATGAATGAGAAATGGGTTCTCACTTACATCATCATCAGTGAGAACACCCCAATGGGCATCAAGAACTTGACTGACTGGAGGTTCTACTGGATAAACATCTCCCTTCACACAACATCACATATACTTAGATTATGCATTGAAAATGAGAAATCACAGAGAGCAGCTTTAGCTGTGATGTAACTCACTGTTTGACACAGATAAAAGAAATTTAGCCATGAGATGAGATGTGTATTTTCATATCAGCATACCCCAACTGAAGATTCAGCATGTCCATTACGAGAACCCAATGTTTTCCTTGAAATGGTGGCAATGGGCATAACTTCCTCAAGGTCAGGATATGAAGCGGCTGAAAACCGCCAAAAAGGAGCGGATTCCCCCATCTTCTCTCGTCTCAATGCTATCTAAACATGACATCTCAGGTATATAGTTACTCAGAACAATGAGAATTGAAAAGGATCATGATAATTAATATTTGTATACAAGCGCTAAAGATGAAATACCTTCCCTGTCCTGGCAATTTCCCTAATGCCAAATTTACTCAAGTTCCTATGAACAGCAACCATCTTTCCAGGATCTCCAGTTACCTATATGCAACTCAACTGAATTATTAAAATAAGCCAGTAATCAAGGCAGTCCAAAACAAGCCAAAGCTCTTCTTAGCAACAATTTGAGCAGTAAAGCTGAAATCTTTTAGCATTGATCAGAATTCAGAACTACAAGAGTTCACAGTTTGTCACCTCAATTGTGAGTGAGTGATCTGAAATATCCACAATTTTGGCCCTGAAGATGTCTACCAACCACATAACCTGGTGAACACAGCCAATAATGCAAACAAAAAAATGTTCTAAAAAAGGGCACCGAAGTGGAAAAAACTAAAGCATAGAATAAATTTCAACTTTTTTCTTATTCAAGATAACGGATTTGCCATTCCAGGAAACGGCATGCCTACCTCAGCACGAAATTTTGGATCTGCATCAATTTTTATTAGCATCAGTTCACGTTCAACTTGTGGCTCTTTCGATATATCTTCAACCTGACAACAATTTGACATGAAAACATCAACAGCAAGTGGGTTTGGGCTGAGTGAGTGCATGCACACGTTACCCTACCTAAAAAGGTTTGGAACAATATGACATGAAAGCTTGAATTCTTTTGACATGACTAAACGAAGCAAAGCAGCAGCTCAATAAAGTTTTCCAAGAAAAGATCGGGCCTAATTAAATTGGAACAAAACATGCTCCTAAGGTCTTAAAATAAGTTGCTTGAAGCCTCAAACAGATCTCAATTAACAATGCCTAATCAATTTAAACTTGAATTACTAGATTTGCAAATTTGGCATGTGTACATGCAGAAAGTATGGAACTAGTTTTGAAGAATTTGGCCTAGCTTTCTGTTCTAATGAGTGTAAGTAGAACAATGCACCCATGTGTACATGCAGAAAGTATGGAACTAGTACGACAATAACCTTCAATACGTTGACCAGCTTCCGGAGCTGTTCCACAACATTCTGTAACACCGTTTCAGTTCCAAGCACAACTATGGTAAATAGAGCCTTGTCCTTGTTCAGACCAACAGCAAGGGACTCAATGTTATACCCTCTCCGTGCAAACACTCCTGCAATCCTATTTATCATCCCGCTTTCATCCCCAACAAAAACTGAGATTGTGTGGCGCCTCACCCTACATTCAGTTTCAAATCATAACATCATCATTATCGGGATACAAATCAAGTAGTAAAATGAAACATCAAACCATGCTAGGGGCACCCTACTTCTCACCCCCACCTTAATGTCTCTGTACGTATTTTAGAAGGTTGGGATAAAAGTTCGGGTTTCTTAAATCATTTTTCTGAAACTACATACTGTGACTGCATTTTAGCATGAAGAATGATTAGACCCGACCTAAAACAACTGCTTTTTGTTTTTGGCAATTGGGCATCTTCAAGCATTGAATGCAATATACCTACATGAGCATTTTACTTTAACTCAATTTGTATAGGTAAAGAAAAAGAAAGACTGCATCACTATTTTCAGGGGAAGACACCCATTTCTTCCTTACCAAACAAAGAATAATTCAGTTTCATTTTGGATTGTCTAGCAGGAATATGCAATGAACGTACAAACAATGTTTCTTGGTGGTGAGAAAAAAATAGAATAAAAACAAAAAACTCACTTCTGCCGCGGCGCAGGAAGAGGTGGATCTGTTGGGATGGTGATTTCACTCTGCGCTTTGGGCTTCCGGTATTGGGCATTCGCAAATACGACGGCGAGTTTTTTGGGCTTCCGGACGGTGATATTTGCGGTGGCCGGGCAAAGGAAACCGAACGTGGCTGAGAAATCGAGGCCATCGCGTGGTGGTTTCCGAACATGGAGTGGCGTGAAATGTGTTGATAGAGCCGCCATTGAAGCTGGTGAAGAAGGGGCGTGGGATAGGTGGATACCTCGCGATTTTTTTATTTTTAATTTTTTCAGAATGGCGGCACCGGCACAGTGCGGAACTTATTGGGTCTCTTTCGGCAACTTTGCCCATCACCAAAAAATCTAGCTTTGGTGAGAGTCCTCCCATTGTTTGAGTTTGATTTTTTTTATTAAATTGTACCGTCCCTGAGTGTTTGTCCACTTTTGACTTTTGGAACTATTCATCTAAACACTTTGACTCATCGAATTCTCTCAATGTGTACGCTAAAAAATAGTCATGTGTGATCTTGTTTGATTCGTTTTAACATATAGATTATTAATATATAATTTTTATAATTTTTTAATATACAAATTACAAGATAAAATTGATTAAAGAAGTGCATTGGATGAGGTGCAAAAATGAAAGTGGACAAACACTCAGGGACGGAGGGAGTAACACTTTGTGTCGATAAATTATTGAAAAAGTATATTTAGTTATAATAAAAAATTTGATAAAATTAGATTTATTTTAGAATATAGTTTTAAAATATCAAATTTTTATAGTATTTAATTATTTTAAACTATATTTAATTCATGGTCAAAGGATACCACAGTATGATCTAAAAAGTCAAATTGTGATAATCTTTTGGGAACAAAAGATGTAGTGTGATAAATGCTAAAGCTAGTTACAATCGACAAATATTCATTTTAGATGAACATAAAGTTCCCTTTAAAATAATACAGGGTGTATTGTTTATTTTTCACACATTTATTTATTATAATTATACTCCCTCCGTCCAAAAATATTCTTCTCATTTTCCTTTTTGGTCCGTCCGAAAATATTCTTCCCATTTCCTTTTTTAGTATACTTTTTAAGGCTAAATATCAATAATACCCTTCTATTTTATCACAAATCTACTTTTTTAGTACTTTGTTAATAATAAAAGGAGATTTAAAAGTTTATAGTATGTGCATTTTTAAAAATTTTACATTTTTTTTATTATTCCTTAATAAGCGTGCCAAGTCAACACGGGAAGAACATTTCCGGAACAACGTAATATTCATTTTGAAACAATGTAGTGTTAATTCTAAATCAACTCAGCATATGATTCATTCTAAAATAATATAGTATCCATTCTTAAACAACATAATATTCATTTTGAAGCAATTTAATGTTCATTCTAACTTTATTCGGCATTCATACCACACACAAATTCATACCACTGCCACCACCAACTTCATTATCATCTTTAACGCACCTATTCTAATTCTCCAATGCTTAGCTGCACAGTAGCTTCTTCCACCAACCCTTGTCGCCGCCACAACAAGGATTCTGCCATGGTATCGATCGGCTCATCTTCTTTGTGCACGTGATTGTTGTTCGATTTGCTATTATTGCCTCTTAATTTTCTCCCCTGTCATGGTCGTACATGGAGTTCCGATTGGTTCGCCATTGTGATTTACTTTTTCACGATTTGGTTGCCTTATTTCAATGTATCTTAATCCTGCTTCTATAATGTCAGCCTTGTTCGTTTTGAGCAACACATTTTTTTGAACCCGTCTCAAATAGGTTTAAAATGAGACGAGACTGAAATAAATAAAAGTTGTTACATATGTCTCATTGTCCCGCTTATATAAACAATTAAAATAAATAAATATGTGGTATATATACATATATATTTATATAAACGGGATAACGAGAAGAAGCATCATACTTCAATTCCGACTACCTTATATAATCGGGATAACGAGAAGAAGCATCATATTCCAAATATTAGCCTTATTTTTAAATTAGATTTAATAAAATTTGTAAACTAAAATATATTCGTATTTTTTAATTGTTTGTGTGTATTATTACAGTATTACACTTTATTGACGGATTGATTAATGATTCGTTTCGATGCAAAGAAAACCAAGATTAGTGAAAATGACAAAAATGAAGAGAAAAGTATCGTTGTGCTGAATGATAGAAAATGAGAAGAAAATGAAAAGAAAAAAATGAAAACATGGGAGAATGTGAAATTAGTTGTAGGGATATGACTAGCTTTGTATCCCAAATTAATTTCGTCGACTTTAGAATCAAATTTTTAACTATAAATTAAACTAAATTTAGGCAGTACAATTGAAAAATGTGTCAGCGTACATTCGCATCAGGTCGAATGGATAATTTATCGAAAAAATAATTAAAAAACATTAATTTTTCAACCAAACACACCAGAGGTCATGATCAGACATGTGCAAATAAAGATCCGGGCCGGATCTTTACCCATACCTGCCCACCTTAGCGGGCCAAACTGCCCAGCGGGCTGCCCGGCCCGGATAAAACATCAAGAAAATCTTTTTTACACAAAAAAATCAAAAAGAAAATATTGAACTCGTTTTCAAATGTTTAAAATAAAATTACCACTCGTCACATTTACATAGAAATCATAATAGAAATATTGTTACAAAATTAATAAACCCATCATATAGATTCATTAAAAGACTATTGATTTTTTTAAGAGGGGTGAGTGTCCTGAGTGATATGAACTATTATACATGAATTAAAAAAAAATTTAAAATTTTTATTGCCTAGGTAACTAATAATAAAGTAAATGTATTTAATGAATATGGGCGGGCCTATTGGCCCGGATGAGCTAAAAATAATTTTCAGATTCGCCTAAATACAATTCGGGCTTGAGTCAGCCCGCCAATGTGGGTATTAAAGATTGTCCATATCCGCCCATTTTAAAGGGCGGGCTGGGCGGGCCGGACGGGCCGACCCTTGTACTTGACAATCCTACTATATACAATGCTAGGTGCATTGTGTGAATAGTGTTCCCGCCTAAACTAAAGGCTTTGTGGACCGGGTTTGGGCCAGGCTTTGTAAATGACGGGTTTGGGCTTACTTTGTGATGTGGGACTCAATAAAATTGCTTTATGTGTATTTAATTTTAGAGGCTCCATAAAGTTGCATTGGGGAAAAACAAAATTGAGTGGCTCCATAAAATTACATGGGGAAAAACAAAATTGAGTGGATCCATAAAGTTGCATTGGGGAAAAACAAAATTGAGTGGCTCCATAAAGTAAATTTAAAAAAAAAGTAACTTTATGTCAAATCTATCTATTATAAAGATTTTTAATATCTAGCCATTTAATGAATGGTTAAAGGTATCATGAATCCTGTATTATATATATACTCGAGCATAATGATGTGAACTTCATTCCTAAAAAATAAACTTCTCAAAAATCATCTCCACACTTCCATTTCTCATTCAGCATCCAGCTCTCCACATCAATGGCAATGGTGTTTCTTTCTTTACATTATATATATAAATTGTAGTCATCCAGCAGGTGTACATATACACATAATATATAATAGAGGCTTAGATTTTTAAATCCGGTTTTAAGTTTGAGGCAATATAAAAAATGAAATCGCCATGGCTGCAACAACGGGGGTTAATTCCGTTACGCCACGCTAAGATACGTTCATTTTCTTCGATGCCTCAAACATTAAAAGCATACGAATCACAGAACCTGTTTTCAATGTCATATATCATCACATACATATTGATACATATATGAAAAAGAATATATATTTTTTAATATGTAATATCTAAGAGTACACGAAATAAGGTTTGAAAAAATTGCAGAGATATCATTTTTATATAGTACTCCGTAATATTTATATCAACAGACCACAAATTAAAAAATAATTAGTGCAAGTGCTACTCTAAAAACAATAAAAATAGGATTAATACGTTAGGAGATTAATAAATTATTCTATAATTAAATAAACACAAGGGAAATTGTGACGAAGATTAAGAAATAATTCTATAATTAAATAAAGGATTTTTTGATTTACAAATATATGTATTTGTGTATTATAATTAAAAACATCTCGATAGGTAAAATTTATATAGGCTTAGATTTTTTCAAATATGAATATATTTATAAGTATAAATAAATAAATATATATATATATATAAATATATACATACATACATATACATATACATATATAT